AAAGTGATGTTTTAGTTTATTTGTCTAATTAGTCTAATTTTTATGAGTTATTTGAATTTTTATTATCTTAGTAAGGGTATGTTTTTGTGATCAAAAATTTGGGTCCCTCTCCCAAATTTTTGATTGCATCAATTTGGTATCAGAGCAAGTTTAGGTAGTCCTAGGTTTGTAGTTTGTCAAGTTGTAGTTTGTCAAGTCTTTATTTTGTTTTCAAGTCAAAGTCAAGTTGTGAGTCTAGTAAGTCTTGTTGTCGAGAGTCTTAAGTTGAGTCTAAGTCTTTTTTAGGTGGAGTCTTTTGAGTCTTTTTTGAGTCGTCAAAAAAAATGAAAAAAGACAAAAAAACAGAAGAAATCAAGCCAGATGAAATTGAAGATTCAATGGATAGATGGATCCCATCAAAGTCAACACATCCTTTGGAGTATGAGCTGTACAAGCTTCAATCTTGGATGCACATTCGCACAGAAAGGTACATGAAGAAAAAGCAACGCTTACAAGATAAATTCCTGAAAGAGCGAGATGAGATCATGCAGAAATATGAAGCTAAGATTCAAGAATTGGAAGCTCAGTCTTCGCCTCCTCGGAAGAAAGCAAAAGCCAACTCATCGGGAGATGAGTTCTTCAAGTAGGGGAGTTTGATGTAGGCAAGGATTGGGTCAACTTATTTTAATTTCTTTCCTTGTGTCTTTTCATCTTCCCCCTCTCCTTGCTCTTCATTAACTTGTCCTTTCATCTCCACCTTATCCTTTGGGTTGTTTTCTAGTTCTATGGAGCCTTGGCTAATTTCGGTTTTTGAGCTTTAGTTGTTGAAAAATGTAGTGGTGCAAGCTCATTATTATCATGTGGAGGAGTAGCTCATTATGAGCTGATGTTTAGCTCTAAAAATTCTTTATGAGGTGCAAGCTCTTAGGTGAGTGAAACTTGTCTCTTCCTCTTCTTCTTTATCTCTTGAAAAGCTGCCTTGGTATAATGAAATGGCTTTAACCTTTGGCATTCTCTGATGTTGGAAACCGTAGCTTTTATTTCCTTTTAAAAAGCTGCCTTGGTATATTGAAATAGGCTCTAACCTTTGGCATTCTCTGATGCTGGAAACCGTGGAATTAATGATGCCGTTTGGCATCCTCTTTGCTGCTCTTTGCTGGAATCCGTGGGCTTTTAATTGCTGCCTTGGAAAACCTGTAGCTTATCTTGGAAATGGTTTGTCCGTTTGGCATCCTCTTTGCTGCTCTTTGCTGGAATCTGTGGGCTTTTAATTGCTGCCTTGGAAAACCTGTAACTTATCTTGGAAATGGCTTTTTGGCATTCTCTGCCTTGGTATTTCCGTGGCTTATTTCCTTTGGCTGCTGTCATTTTCTGTTTCCTGTGCTGGAATTTATTGGCTGTTTTGGGCTGTTTAGTTCCCTTCTTATGCCTATATATAGTAGATGTTAGAGGATGTTATAAAAGAAGAGAATGATGTAAGTTATTTTTGGGATAAAACCTGAGTGGTTTTTGGCTTTAGAAATCCTGCGGGCTCTTTCTAAGCTTCTTCCCCTCCTCCGGAAATCCTGCGGGCTCTTTCCAATCTTCGTCTCGTCTCCTAATCTCTTTCTTCTCTCCATAGTATCCATTCCATTGTATCCTTCTTCTCAAGTGAAGCAATTTTAGGGTGTCATTTTGTTTGTGTCAAAGTTTGAAGCGTCAAGGTTTGTAAGTGTCTTGTAAGTCCTTTTATAATATGAAAATAGTGTTTTAGTTTATTTGTCTAATTAGTCTAATTTTTATGAGTTATTTGAATTTTTATTATCTTAGTAAGGGTATGTTTTTGTGATCAAAAATTTGGGTCCCTCTCCCAAATTTTTGATTGCATCAAAGGGACTACCAGCTAACCCTCCTAATCGCTTTTAAAACCATGTCATCCGGTCTCAATGCAAATGTAGAGTGGGGAGGTTGTTTTTATTTAGAAGGTAGGGCTTACAGCTTGGCTTTGAGGCCAAGATGCCTAATTATGTGGGTATGCATATGCTGACTCATAAAGAAAAAGACTTTTGTTATCTAATCCTTAAGTGAGTGCTTTCTATATGCAACACATTTGGGCTATGCATGATTGTTTTAATTTTTAGAAAACTTAACTCCTTGAAGGGAGCCATGCAAGACTTTCTTACTTATTAGAAAATCGTGGAGTCTAAATCAATTTTTAGATTGATTATATTTTAATGGGTAAAAATTTTATTTTTGTCTTAAAAGTCTACCGCATCAAAAGTCCAAGCCACTCCCAAGCAGAAGTAAAGAAAAAAAACCTAGGAAAAATATGCATTTCTATTGCACAACCAGGTAAACAATTAAAGCATGCTTTTATTTATGAATAAAGTACAAGAAATGAAAATAGAATCCACATTATTACAACCAGATTTGACAGCTGAGTTGCCTGCCATTATACAACCCAGTCAAAATTACAGACTCTACTTGTGGGGTTCTTCAGTCTCTTGACTTTTGAATGGACATTGGGCTTCACCTTTGACAGGTACATCCTTCTAGTCCACTTCATTCTTTTGATACAATTATAATTCTATCAAATACATGTTTGAAAAGAAAAGAGACTCAAACCTGCAGTGGATTAGAAGCAGTTTATATAATAAAGCATCACATTAAGAATTTTGTTTAGCACTTAGAGTGTCAAACGCATGCTTCTACCCTATTGGCCACATCTTTGGGGGGGGTTTAAGCAGCATCTGTCATGCAAGCAATTTATTATTTATGAGTGCCCCCCTTTTTAGATATGGCCACCTGCAAGAAGAACAAGTATATTTCTACACTATCCACTTAAGGGCAAATGCCCACAACGCATATAATCCAAGGACAAACACACCACAACATCAAACACATGCGCAGAAAAGAAAATCCTAATCCTAGCATGCCTGAGGGGTTGTGCACCTAAGTGTGTGAGGCTTGTGTAGCATGTCACACTAAGGGTCTTTGATTTTATTTTGGAATGAAGATGTTTAATCTTTATCCAAAGGGTGGTTTCACTTTAAATTGTTTGTGGCTTAAAGATTTTATTTGATTTTTAAGTGTTTCATATTTAGGAGGGTTATAAAGAACCCATAAAGTAACAACTGCTTGCTTTTGGGAAAGCCTATTACTTATGAATCCTAAGATACAATGGTGTAGGCATCCCGCCTTTTGGGGGAGATGCTTGATCATTGTATCAAAAGGGAACCTAAGTAATTTTTAGGTGTTTTAGAGTTCTCTTAATGTTTGGATAAGAGAAGTGTCTATCAAATAGGGTAAGATAGACTTGTCTAAGGGGCTTCACTTAGGACTTGGTGAAATTCATCCAATAGGGTAGAATGAATTTCAACTGAAAGGACAACTCCTAAGGAACATCTACAAGTTTAGCACTTTCAATGTCATAGGAGAGGTCACTCAACTTGGGTTGAATGAAAGAGATTACTTAGATTTTTGAGACTAAGAAGGGTGTCCAACATGTAGCTTTTGGACTACATGGTGAGGGATTCTCCTTAGCTTTTGGAGCTAAGAAGAGAAAGGTAGGAATCCAACATTTAGCTTTTGAGCTAAATGTAGGAAAACTTCCTCTAGCTTTTGGAGCTAAAGAGGGGGAGAATCCCCTACAACTTTAGAGTTGGAGGAGAGTTGGATCAAACCCATAGCTTTTAGGCTATGGTTGGGAGGATTCCTTAGACTTTTTGGAGTCGAAGGAAAAGATGGATGACTTATAATTTTGGTTACAAGTCATCAAGAATTATATGGACTCTTGGGTGTCCAAATAACAAAATCCCTCCATCCAACTTGGGTTGAAGGAAAGGAATGGAGGAGAAGAGGCACAACTTGGAAGCTACAATCTCATGAACATTCTTTGAAGATTTGATGTTCAAAAAGGAATATACATTCTCATAACTTTATTTAAGAGAATGAAAATATCTTCCTACAACCTTTGAGTTATAGGAGGGAAAATTCTCTACGATTTTGGTTTGTAGAGAAGAGAAGGGGAGGTGCAATTGGAGATTGCAAATCAAAGAGAGTTCTTTGGACATTTATTGTCCAAAGAGGGGAATGCATTCTCCTAGTTTGGGTTTAGGAGAATGATGAGATTTCCTACAACTTTTGAGTTGTAGAAAAGAGGGAAGGAATATGCAACTCATGAGTAGCAAATCCATAAATGTTCTTTGAACATTTGATATTCAAAGGGATGAATTCATTTGCCTAATTTGAAGTTAGGCTAATGAAGAGAAATTTGGAGGTTTCCTACAATTTGGGCTTTTAGGAAAAGGAATGGTCCAAAATGCAACTTAGGGATTACAAATTGGAGGATTTCCTTTGAACGTTTAGTGTCCAAAGAGGGGGATTGATTGTTTGTTGATTTTGTCTTTTCAACAAACAAAGGGAAGAACTTGGGATTTGGTTCGAAGTTCAAGGTGTCTTGGCGTGCATTTAGGATTTTTGATCCTAAAGTTATCAGATTCATGCAATCCAATATTTAGGGCTTTGGGAATGCTCTAAGTATCATGCATGAAGAATATGTAAGGGTGGATATTTGTTGATTTTTTTTTCAACAAACAAAGTTAAGTAAACCTAGGACTTTGATCCTAGAATTACACGATTCATGAAATGATTTTGTTTGGAATCTTTGAAGGTTTCAAATCATTATACATGAAAGTAGATGGATATTCATTTGCTAGTTTTATCCAACAAATGAGATGGGAGAGCTTGGAATTTGATCCCAAACTCAAGGATTTATGGCATGATATCGTTCATTTGCTAATTTTATGTCTTAACAAATGAAAAAGTAAACTTAGGATTTGGTCCTGAGTTTGGAGAGGTTCCTTTAAACATGTGGTTTCAAAAGGAACAAAGAGAGGTACACATTCTCCTAGTTTTGAGTCTTAGGAGAATGGGGTGGTCTCCTACAACTTTTGGATTGTAGAAAGAAAAAAATGAGATGCGACCTAGAGGTCGCAAGATTGGGAGAGATCCCTTGAACATTTGGTGTTCAAATGAATTTCTTCACTCACTTGATTTAGTTTGAGTGAAGGGATGTATGAACCTAGAATTTGGTTCTAATGTCCAAGATTTTCATGTTGCGACATTATGGAATTTTGGAAGATTCCAAATCATCACACATGAAGGGAGATTCATACAATCTAACATTTTGGTGCCTTGAGGAGGCCTTAAACATCATGTATGAAGGAGGAAACGTATGGGAGAGAGAGTTCCCCATAATTTGAATGAATGTTTTGGATTCATTTTGGAGAAGGAAGATTGATTTCCTAAGGCTTTGGAGAGGTCTCTAGATCAATTTTGGCATGATCTAGAAACTTGGATAAGGGAGATCTATCCTTATGATTTCTAGGAAACTTAGGATCAAATTTGGTATGAGCTAAGAAGAAGCTAGGAATGCATGCAAGTGTAGTCAATTTCCAAGTATCTAAGTTAATTTTGTCATAACTTACAATTTGCTAACAATGACATTCATGCTACAAGATGTGAGAGTCCCTACACATTGTCATTCAAGATATGGTTGAGTGACAATACTTAGCCTAAGGTTTGAACGTAGGCGAAGGTATTAGGCACAATATGATGCATAAACATACATTTGAAAGGTGTTAGATAACAATCCAACACCTCTACACGCATCGAAATCCTCTCCGGACCCTCACATGAGAGCCAACAAATGGAAATCACCAAATTTCCACTGTTTTTGCTAAGTGGACAGCCAACAAAGGGGTTTTGGGAGAGCGAAAATTGAAGTTTCTAAGGACCTAAGGTTCGGGGGCGTCAACCACAGAACAATTGGCCTTGGGGGACCCTAGGTTTCACTAAGTTTTAGTGGTATACCTCTCCCGGTTTATCCTAGCGCTCCAATCCAAGTTCCGGCTCGCTGTCCAAGTCCTTTGAAAGGTCCAAACTGCTGTCCAAGGCCTTCCCAAGGAGGAAGACCGCTGTCCCAAAGTTCCAAACAAAGAATTTCACTATTTGAGAGCTTCTGAAGGTCGTCGTTTGCTGTCCAAAGCTTCCGAACAGCAGTTTTCATTGTTTGGAAGCCTTCGGAGGCTGCGTGATTGCTGTCCAAACCCCTCCGCACGTCACCGCCATTGTCCAAACCTTTCCGGAGAAGGAATTTGCTATCCAAACTGCTCCGGACAGCTGTTTGCTGTCCACGAACGCTCCAAACAGCAGTTCTCGTCGCTTTGAGGTCGCCGGGGTTGATTTGGGACGAAGGAGAAGTTTTCCACCTCTTCCTAAGGGAAAAGGAAAAGAACTACAGCAGTTCTTTGTCCCATATTTTGTGATAGGAAGAGGATATCAGCGACAAATTGAAGTAAACGGCTGACTTTGGGGTCTTGGCATCTGAATAACGCCGCCGGCTTGATGGATCGCACCAAACCACGAGAGAAGGCAGCAGAGTGGGTTGGCCAACCTTGCTAGGGCCGCTTCTCCCTCTCTTTCTCCCGGAGACAGCAAGCAAAGGGGGGCGGAATCCCCCCCCCCCTTCCCTCTCTCCCGCACTCGCCTGGGACGGAAGAATCGCACGGGAGAGCCGAAAATGGCTCTCCCTCTTCCGCTCTTTTGCTCTGCCTGGGACGGACGCACACAAGAAAGGGAGCCGAAGGCTCCCCCTCTCCGCTCTCCTTCACTTTCTCTCGCTCGGGATTCTTGATAGCATCAATTTCTGATGTAGACAAAGGGGGGGCCAACACTAGTCCAAAATAAATCAAATTTTGGCTTCCCTTGAGTCTACTAGCTCAATCCATTTAAGCTGAAATTTTAGCTCATTTATGAGCTGGTCTTTAGTTCATTTATTGAACTAAGGATTAGCTCATTATTAGCTAACATTTTAGTTCATTTATTATCTTACTTTTTATTAAATGTTATTTAGTTTTTAATGTTTCTTTTTATGGTGTCTCTTGGGTTTCCAAAAAGGGCTTTTGGAGTCCCAAGATAGTTGTTTAGTCTTCCCATGTGTGGCTCCTTGAATTCCACCATGGTTTTATTGCTCTCACCCCATGGGATTCCGGCCGGCCGTTGGTTTTCCCGTGCCTGGGCTCTTTCCTGAGGCCATGGCCCCTTGGTTCCATGCGGCTTCCTCGTCTCCCGTGGTTGCCTCTTCGGTTCCTTGGCTTGGGTGTGTTTTTTCATGCAAAGCATTAGTGTTCTAATTAATTGTGTTGTTTAGAATTCCTATGGGAATTTAATGTTAGTGTCTCTTAGTATTCCTCTTTCATACCTATAAATATGGGAGGATTTGTAATGTTTGAAGTAAGTTGATGAATGATAAGTTATTTTTGAAAGCTTTAACCTGCGGGTTTGCTTTGAAAATCCTGCGGGCTCTTTCCACCCTTCTTTCTCATCCCCTCCGAAAATCCTGCGGGCTCTTTCCAACCTTTCTTCTCGGGCTTCTAACCTCTTTCGTCTCTCCGCAAGTGTCACTCCACCTATATCCCTCTTCTCAAGTGAAGCAATTTTAGGGTGTCTTGTTTGAGT